CCATGCCTGTTGAGGTTCTTCTTTTTTTGTATGATGGTGGGAATTGGACACAGGGCCTAGTGCATGCTAGGCAAGGTCTCTACCACTGAGCTTCATTCTGAACCCTAGATATGATTGTTTTTATTTTTATTATTTTTTTGTTTATTCATTTTTTAGATGAGGTCTCACTGTTGCCCAGGCTGGCCTTGAACTCTTGGGCTCAAATCATCCTCCTGCTTCAGCTTCTTGAATAGCTGAGTTCTCAGCAAGCTAATTGTGTCTAAATTTGTAGTTGTTCCATTACCAATGTTGTAAAATAGCCTGATTTAATGGATTTTAGCCAGAAATTTTAGAATGGAATGGAATAAACTGAGAATCAAAGTGCAGGAGGCACGGTAACTGCTGCCTCATAAAAGTCTGTATCTGTTCTGTGTAGATATTAGACAAGATGATGATGCGAGGACTGTGGGGTGCAGTGTGTCTGGAAGCATTTGTGACCTGTACGGGGCTGGAATGTAGGGGTGCTGAGTTGGCTGGTGATGAGAAGGCAGCAGGGAATTGCAAAAAAAAAAAAAAAAAAAAAAAAAACAGCTGAGGAGACCAGGCATATTCAAGGAGTGACCTTTCAATGCCGGACGAAGGACCACAGGGAACAGGGGAAAGAAAGCCTGGGGGTAAGGGAAAGTGAACCATTTAGGCTCTTCAGCGCCAGGAATTAAATTTATCTATGAAGTAGGAGCTAGCTGTAAAAGAACTACCTTTTTTTTGTTGTCTTTTTCGTTTTTATCAGTACCAGGGATCAAACTCACGACTTCCTGCTTTCAATGCAGATGCTTATGCCGCTGAGCTAAATCCCCAGCCCCAGAACTACCATTTTTAGCTGCTCACAGTGGCACAAGCCTGTGGTCCCAGTTACATGGAAGGCTGAGGCAGGAGGGTCATAAATTTAGGGCAGCCTGCCAATTTAGGGAGACCTTGACTCCCTAAAGGGGTGGTAGAGCTGTCACTCAGGATGAGAGCATGGCATGCTCTGGGTTAAATGTGTGGTACTACAAAAAAAAAAAAAAAAAAAAAAAAAAAAAAAAGGGCCCAAACCTTACCACTTTAATAGTAAATCTTCTCAGTAAGAGCTGGGCACTTAGGGCCGAGGCTTTAGCTCAGCAGTGTAAACACCTGCCTGGCAGCTCAAGGACTGAGTTCGATTCCTGGTTTAAAAAAAAAGAGCTGGGGACCTAGATTGAACCCTTACCACATGAAGAGGTAGGCACTGTCCAGAAACACAGATGAAATGACCTGCTAAAAGCCAGTAACAGAGCAGAATTTAAACACAAATCTGATCGCAAGGCCCACACATTTCTCATAACTTGTTGCAGCCAGAGCACTGTAAGAAGGGCAGGGTTGCCACCAAGGTGACATACACCTGTCATCCAAGCTACTTAAGAGGCTAAGGGAGAGGATCACCAGGTATGAGGTCAGCATGGGCAACATATCGAGGCCCTCAAACAGAGAGAGAAAACTAAATTGCCAGGTAGGTGTAGGCAGAGTTCACACAAGTGCCAGGCGGGGAGCCGCCAGACTCATCCTTGTTAGAACCCAGAACTAAATCCCACACTGAGGACTTAATAAGTGACTAATAGCAGAAATAATCATGATTATAATCATATGTCCAGGAGAGGGAAGGGCTGGGTATGACTGGTTCAATTATTTCGACTAGACCCATGTAGGTAGTGATTATTTTTCTTTTTTCTTTTTGGTAGCAGGAATGGAACTCATGACCTTGTGCTTGGCAGGCAGGCACTCGTGCTGCTGAGCCACGTCCCAGCCATGATCCTTTCAACAATGAAGATGAGCAATGAGCAGCAGTAACTGTCACAACTTGCTGGTGTTTCTGCGGCCACACCCAGTTGGCTGAGATCATTATCCTAATCCTCTTTGCACAATTATATAACCTAGTTAAAATTCAAAGAAGCTGCTACATTTTTTAAAGCCTTTTGTTTTTTGGTACTGGGGATTGAACCTAGAGCCTCTGGAGTGGTAGACAAGCGCTCCACCCCTGCAATCTCGTCCCACTTATAACTTGAGACAGGGTTTCACTACATTGGCCAGGCTGCCCTTGAATTTGCAGGCTTCCTGCCTCAGCTTCCTGATGAGTTGAGATTACGGGCATGTACCATCACACCTTGCTTTATCCTGATTTTTCTTTTTTTTGGTACCAGGGTTCAAACTTAAAACCTCATGCTTGTCAGGCAGGCAGTTGTGCCACTGAGCTAAATCCTTGGCTTTATCATGATTTTTTTGTGAGGGTTGTTTTTTTTTTCTTTTGGTACCAGGGATTGAACTCATGACCATGCACTAGCCAGGCAGGTGCAGTGCCACTGAGCTATATCCCCAGCCCCTTATCATGATTTTAAAATTGAAATTATTTTACTAATTCCAAGGTAGTGAAGAAAATATTGCTCAATACCTTTTATCCTGTGGTGTATGTCTTTAATTCATTGTTTTTAAAAAATTCATTCTTTATATATATTCTTTTTTTTTTTTTATTTTTATCGGTACCGGGGATCGAACTCACGACCGCCTGCTTGCAAGGCAGGTGCTTATGCCGCTGAGCTAAATCCCCAGCCCCCTATTCTTTTGTTCTTTCCCTGCTCTGGTTGTAATGCACACGGAACGCAGGGACACCCTAACATGGAGGTGCATTCCCAGCCCTTATATTGAAACAAGGTCTTGGTAACTGCTCAGAGTGACCTTGACTTTGCAGTCCTCCTGCTTCAGCCTCCCTGACAGCAACTGCACCCAGCTGCTTCTGATCTCTTGGTCTCTGATGATCAGAAAGAAAACAAGCTGAGCATGACATTATGAAAGTAGGTGACAGGGCATCGGTTGTTACGGGATGCACGGACTGACGCTGAACTTGCTGCACCGCCCTCCAGTCCTGTGGAAGGCCTCTCAGATCCAGATCCAGGGCAGTCACTGAAACTCTGAAGGTTTTTTGCAGGCACTGCCTATAACCGCAGCACTGAAGGAGGGCAAGGCAGGATGGCAGATGTGTCTCAACTATGCAATTAGCGAGACCTTGTCTCTCCAAAAGTAAAGAGCCGAGATGTAACACATTGATAAAACATTTCTGGGCTTGAAACCCAGCTCCCCACCCCACCAGCCAGACATACTGAAGCTGATGGAGCACAGATCAGGGGGTTTGGTTCAAACTTTTTACAAAATATTTTATTTTTATATTATAGATTAATACTAAAGTTACCATAAAACATCAGTTTCAAATTTTTTTTTTTTATACTAGGGATCAAACTCACAACCTCTTGCTTACTAATCAGGCGGTTATGCCACCGAACTAAAGCCCCTGCCCTCAGTTTCAACTTTTTTTTTTGTACTGGGGATCGAACTCTCAACCTCATGTTTGCCAAGCAGGCTAACTTCCTGGCTTTTTTTGTCTTTTGGAAACAGGGTCTCACTATGTGGTTCAGGCTGGCCTTGGGCTCACTTCGTAGCCCAGGCCGGTCTGGAATTTGCAATGATCCTACTGCCTCAGTGTGCTGGGATTACAGCAGTGAACCACCAGCTCAGTTTCAGCTTTTATTATCTGAAAACCGGCTGGTGTCTGCCCCTTTTGACATATTAACCCCCCCCTATTTTACTTATGTATAACATTTGCATGTGTCTTTGGTGTTTCTAGGTTTCACTGTGTGGCTTGTGCGATCTTCCTGCCTCGGCCCCCTGAGTGCTAGGATTCCATGTGCACTGTCACACCAGGTCACCTGATGGTTCACAGTGGCTGAGCTCTCCAAGCTCCTCACTGTGACCTGCTTTGCTGATGCAGTTTCCCACAGGCCCCTCGGCCTACCTTTGTCTGCTGGTTCCTACTTACCCTCCAAAGCTCAGGTTACTTATTACCTGGTTTCCTTGACTTCCATTTTTCAACACTGAACACCTTCCACTTGCTGGGCCAAATTTATTTTTTTGCAGTGCTCCAAGAGGACACCAGGGCACTGAGTGGGAACGCAGTGGGAGGTGGATTGCAGGCTGGGAGAGATCTGAGGCCGCTCTGGGGCGGGTTGAAGGGTGAGGAGTTAGTGGAGCATGGCCATGGGGGTGGGCTGGTTAGAGGGAGCAGTGGATTAAAAAGTAACATGCACACCAGGGGTGGTGGCTCACTCCTGTGATCCCAGCACTTGGGAGACTGAAGCAGGAGGATCCTGGTGAGTTGGAGACCAGCCTGGGCTACAAAGTGAGCTCAAGGCCAGCCTGAACTTCATAAAAAAAAAAACCCCTGTCTCAAAAAAGACAAACAAAACAAAATAAACAGGCAGGATGCAAAGCACAGCAACAGAAAAGCAGCCCCATGCCTGTGGCTGGGCCCTGCCATCAGGGGAGCCCCCGTGCAAGGCCCAACGCCCTTCTTATGCTCCTTTGGGTCAAACACTATTGTCAGGCTTCTCCTGGTCGTTGAGGCAGAGGCCAGGTTAATTGTGGACCTTCAGGACATTATAAGTAACCCTTTTGTTGACCCAAAATAAAACCTGGAAAAAGGCGAAACCTCATCCAATAGGAATGGAGCATCTGCGATTCTCCAGGTCTGCCACTGTGAAGTGGAGCTGGAGTTGGAGCAGGGCGTAGTAGCTGACGCCTGGAATCCCAGCACTCAGGAGGCTGAGGCAGGAGGACCATTGCAAATTCAAGGCCAGCCTGAGCTGCACAGCGAGACCCCGTCTCAAAAAGACAAATAAAAAAAGCTGAGTGATCCTCACTCCTCAGTGTAGTAATCTCACCCTCTTCGTGTCTGTAACCTGTCTCTTTAGTTCAAAATTCAAACTGCAGTGCAGGAAGGGAAAGTTTCTGAAAACGTCTGACTTACCTATGGGAAGGCTCAGGTGCTTCTGAATTCCGTTCAGTGGTATTTCTTGGGCAGGGTACTTCACGAATCCCACTACCTCTATTGCTTCAACAATGTCTGGATGACTAAAATAAACTGCTCATGTGGGGAACTCCCACACGGGGAAAGCGACTACCAGAAAATAAGCATCAACTTTATTAACACAATAGCAACAGAAAGTTTCCAACTTCTCAGAAGAAAACCAACCCGAATCCTGCACTTACTGGTGTTACAGGATTAAATGCTTGTGTCACACTCACTGTTCCCGTCGCTCCCTGCCACACCCCGAAGGGTCATCAAGGACAACTGCCATGGAGCTGCTGAGGGACATTCTGGGGGTGGAGGTGGGGCGGGTAGCTTCACAGCCACCCCAGGTCACACAACTGGAAGGGAATCCTGCTAAGAACCCCTGGGGTAGAGAACACATCCTGTGGAGAACAGAGCCTTTGGGCTAAGAAAAACCATGAACTGATCAGTTTTTTACTAGATAGGGTGGCAGCCGGGCTGCTCTGTGAAGTATCCTTTTTGAAGCCCTCCTCAGCCCATGCGGGAGGCAGGAAGGGTGGTGAGGTGGTAGCGTGCTAACAGGCGGGTGCACTGTAGCACAGGCTCGGCTCTCTCTGCTGGGGGCTGTGGGGTCTTTTGTGGCAGCTGCAGCAGCTCGACGGGGGAGGCAGGGGACACCTGCCAATCACCTCTTCTTGAAGCCGTATTTTTTGCGTTCATAGAAGAGGTCTGTCTTAGAGCTTCCCAAATTGACAATTTTGGGACAACCGTCTCGCTGGAAAACAGAATAAAGAAACTGTAAAGTTTTTTTTGGTCTTTTTCTTTTCTTTTCTTTTTTTTTTTTGTCTTTTTCGTTTTTATTGGTACCAGGGAACGAACTCACAACTACCTGCTTGCAAGGCAGGCGCTTAGGCCACTGAGCTAAATCCCCAGCCCAAACTGTGAAGTTTGTAAGTCTGAATCAAGAGGGACTGAAGAGAAAATTTAATCCTAGTGAAGGGGCAGTTAAAATTTTAAGTAAGAGCCTGCCCAAACATACCTATAAAAACCAAGTGAACATATCTGGACAACCTGATAACAGAAGATGGGTTCCTGTGTATACCCCATGCTTAACTGATGGCCTTGCAATGTAACTTGAGGTGTTTAAACTCCGTCAGCAACCCAGGATGTCACCCAATCCTCCAATCATAATGCTCCAAATCTGACTCTGAACCTCCTACTTGCTCTCCCTTTAAAAGCCCCAGAACACCACTGGGCAGAACTCTGACTCTGGGAGAGACCACCCAGTCAGGAACACTGGTGTAATAAACTGCCTCGTAAGCCTCCTCGGTGCCCTTTCTTCCCGTGTTTGGTTTGTTTTCTGCAACATATGGGATGAACAAAGCTAACCTCTTCACCCCAGGATTTACAGATCCCACTAGGGCTGGAGTGTAGCTCTTCCCTGCTATGTAGTAGGCGCTGGGTTTTATCCTCAGCACCACTTCTTGAAAAGGAAAAAGGATACCAACAAATGAGTTTGCACGTATGTGCAGACATCTGTAGCTCCTTCACTGGCACTGCTTAGCTTACCTTTCTCTTTAGAGTTTTCAGTGAGCATTTACAACTATTGAGCTCATGGTTTTGTTTGCCTTCCTGTTGTCTTACTTGACTCAGCAAGAACTTATTAAACATTTAAAATAACCAGAGTATGTTATGTGCATGTCTAGATCTGCCAAAATGAAACCCTTTACCTGTAAAACCATTATGCACTAATGAAAAAGAGATGAGAAACAGTCTATGTAGTGTGTTTGCAGGGTCTGGCTGCTCTCTATCCAGTGACTTTTTTGGTACTTGGAATCAAACTTGAGACCTTGTAACCTTGTGCCTGCCAGGCAGGCGCTTATGCCACTGAGCTGTATTCCCAACCCTTTTGGTTTTTTTTGAGACAGGGTCTTGTTTTGTAGCTCAAGCTGCCCTTGAACTCACAGAGATCCTCCTGCCTCAGCCTGTAGAGCACTGGGATTACACACTAGTGGCACAGTACTCAAATGAACACAATCTGAAACTCTTATGCTGAAGGATTTTCTTCAGGTGAGAGGTTAAGAAATGGTAACCTTCACCTGTGGTCCAAGCTCTCCAACCCTCCTCCTCTGTTCCACGGAGAGAATACCCCCAAAGGGGAACCTTCAGTGCTGTCACTTCTGGGTTTCATGTGTCCTTATTAATTTGCTTCATCTGACAGTGTCAGGGAGCAGTGCTACTGTGCCAGGCCTGGCTGCTGCTGGCTGTCCTGACTGGAAACGCCATGCTGTGACTGTGCGCATCCACGAAGCCCCTTCGAAGCCTGTGCTGTAGGACTGATGATGCCAGCTGCTGATGGGGGCGATGGGAAGAAAGCCCGGGAGCTGTAGCTGGAAGCCGCCACAGGCCTGCTGACTTTATCTGAATTCTCTGTGGGGGACTGACAGTAGCCTTGTGTACAAGGACACACGCTAACATTGTCTGGTTTTCTAGAAAACAAAGGAACTGCTTCTCCCTGGCCTAGGGAGCCATGACATTAAACACAGCTGTACTCTATAAACTCTGGCAATGCTGTGGCTAGGACCAATTCCCGCACTGTCCTTACCGACTCAGCCACCATGGCAGCCATTACCTCTGCTCCCCACAGTCCTCCCTGGAATGAGGGCTGGCAGCAGCTTGGTTCATAGACTGAACGGAGGCAGAGGTTGCGGGAGGCGCCAGGTGGCAGGGCCCTGCCCCAGGCTGCACAGCTGTCCTCACTTGGAAGGGCGCAGGCTCTGGAGCCAGGTCACCCGACCTTGTGAGTTAACATCCCCCAGTCTCAGCTCAGGGACAAGTAAAATGACTGCAATGGCAGAACTACCGAGAAATGAGCAGGATAAAAGGCTCAGGAGACCTCTCTCTGGCACAGCCCCGGGCACCCAGTCACCTCCCTCAGTCACAAGGAACTGCCCAAACACACACACCCGCCAGCCATGGCCGTCTCGAGGCCCGGCCCTGCACAGCCAGGAGCAGCTGGAGGCAGCGTGACTCCAGCCCTTCCTACCCTCTCGGTCTTCCCGTTTCCTCTCACTCACTCACAGCTTTCCTAATCCTTCACCTAAATCTTTGTTCATTCTTGTCCACCAGTTTCCTGGTTGCCCCCAAATTGAGGATTGTTAAGAAATGATGGAGAAGAGCCGGGTGTGGTAGCTCATGCCTATAATCCCAGTACTCAGGAAGCTGAGGCAGGAGGATCATTGCGAGTTTAAGACCAGCCTGGGCTACACAGTGAACCACACTGAACTGCATAGAGGGACCCTGTCTCAAAAAGACAATTAAAAAAAAAAAAGAAAAAAGAAAAGAAAGAAAATGATGGAGAGGCCAGGTGCACACCTGTGATTCCAGTGCTTGGGAGGCTGAGGCAGGAGGATTGCTGCAAATTTGAGGACAACTTGGGCTACACAGCAAGAACAAAAACAAGGTCTAGGGCCTTAGCTCAGTGGCAAAAGCGCCTGTCTGGCAAGCATGAGGTCATGAGTTCAGTCCCCAGTACCAATTAAAAAAAAAAAAAACCCACAAAAGATGAAATAAACAACAACAAAGAGAAATGTTGGAGAGCCAGGTGCGGTGGCTTATGACTGTAACTCCATCTGCTTAAAGCAGGTGGATCACAAAGTTGAAAGCCAGCCTGGGCTACTTAGTGAGACTGTTTCAGTAAAAATTACAAGGAGTCAGGTGGATTGCCAAATTCTGTCCCAGGTTGGGTAATTCAGCAAGGCCCTATCTCAAACAGGCCTGAGGATGTGTGTAGCTCAGTGAGAAGGTCCTGTGTTCAATCCCTAGTACAGAAAGTAGTTTAGCACTTCCTGGGTTCAGTACCCAGCATCGCCAAAATGGCACACTGGAAGCCTGATGTGGTGCCTCACACCTGTAATCTCAGCACTTTGGGAGCCCAAGACAGTATGACTGTAAGACAGAGCCCAGCCTGGGCAACTTAACTTAGCAAGCCTACCTCAGTATAAAAGATAAAAAGGCTTAGGGATGTAATTCAATGGCACAGCACTGCAGAAACCAAAACCCAAGACACCAAACGAAAGACCTTTAGATTATCAAACTAAGGTTTATATTCATATGTGAATTTTTTTTTTTTTTTTTTTTTTTTTTTGAGACAGGGTCTCACTATATATCTCAGGCTGGCCTTGAACTTGCAGTGATCCTCCTGCCTCAGTTTCCCCAGAGCTGGGATTACAGATGTGCACTCCCAAGCCTGGCTTTTACGGTTTCTTGAGATAGAATTTCACTATGCAGTGCATGGTGGCCTTGAACTCATGGCAATTCTTTGTCTCAGCCTCTTGAGTGCTGAGACTACAGGTATGGGCCACATACCTAGTGTCAAAGTTTGTTTTTTTTTTTTTTTTGTAGCACTGGGTTGGAACTTGGGGTCCTAGGCATACTAGTCTAGGCAGGTACTCTACCACTAAGTTACTCCCCCCCAGGTCCCTCCAAAAATCTTTGGAGTTTCTCTAAGGTGTCAGGTGCTTATTTCTTTTCTTTTCTTTTTTTTATCGGTACCAGGGATCGAACTCACGACTGCCTGCTTGCAAGGCAGGTGCTTATGCCGTTGAGCTAAATTCCCAGCCCCCAGGTGCTTATTTCTACCACATGTTTCTGAAATGCACCCCTGGCCCAGAGACAGATTCAAAGTCCTCATTGACCTTGGGCTTCCCATCTGGAAGGGCTGCTTCGATTAAGTCCATTCTGTGCAGCCAAGCAAGTTACAAACGTCACCTTGGACTACTGATAAAAATGCAGGGTTTTCAAGCAACACTTTAAAACCAACACAAGTCATGCACTAATGAAAAACTGTACAGAACTGAGGTGTGAGAAAAAGCAACTGAATGGATTGTGGCGATTACAAAAACACAAGGACTAAAAATGAGTCAGCATCACTGGTAACAAATCATGAGCAGGTGCCAGAGGCCAGCCCTGCTCTGACGACAACACAGAAGGTGAAGACTTGTTTATCCCCTTGGCTACTGTTTAATAAATACCAGTGAGGTGAAGAGCAGCCCGCACACGCCAGGGAGGGATCTTTGCAGGCGCGGTACACCTTCCGCCTGAATCTGTGTTTGGGAAGACTTTCTTGTACCTAGCTCTTTGTGAATACACGCATGGGACAACATGAACTACTACTTATTTCTGTAGAAATTTCCACAAGGCCAAACAGTGTGTGAGAAGCAAAGGGAAGACTTGAACCCGGGCCGCCTGCCTCCCAGGCCAGTGCTCTAGCAGCACCTCCCAGAGGCAAAAAACACAACTTTGCCAAGCTTAGGAAGCTGTAGAGAATAGTGAGTGAATTGTGAATTGACTTTAAGAACTATCAAGTTTCTTTTTTCATCTAACTGTTCTGTAGTTTGTTTAAATGCGACAACCAGATGGTAGAAATAGCAATGAAAGGGATGGGACAACCCTTACCCAGCCTGAGCAAGTGACAGTGAGATGATTAAACAAAGAAGTTAGGCCATGCATCCTCTGCCAGGGTGAAATACTGCCCCAAGGGGGTGGAAATGACTTGTCTTACAATGATTTACCATCTAAAGCTCATTCCTATCCAAGGAAATTGCATTCCGCTTGGCAGGGCAGAACTGTTTATTTTTGGGTGTTGGGCCTTGAACCTGAGGCCTCATGTATACTATGTGTGCACTCTACCACTGAGCTACAACCCAAAGCCTGTCCCCCTCTCTTTTTTTGGGGGGGGGGTGCCAGGAATTCAACTTAGGACCTTGCACTTGCCAGGCAGGTACTGTGCTGCTGAGCTATATCCCTGTTCTACTTCTTAATTTAAAAATCAAATTTAAACCAAACCAGTGTGGTATCACAAGCCTGTAATCCTGGCACTCTAGGAGACCAAAGCAAGAGGATCGAAAGTTCAAGCCCAGCCTGGGCAACTTAGTGAGACCTGTCTCAAAATAAAGAATAAAAATTTAAAAAGGGGGTTAAGGATATAGTTCTGTGCAAAGATTCTGGATTCAACCCCTAGCATCATAATGATAGCAAGGTAGCAAGGCATGGTGCTACGTGCTTGTAACCCAGCACTCCGGAGGGCTGAGGAAAGAGAATCACAAGTTTGACGTCAGCCTGGGCAGCTAACTTAGTGAGACCTTGTCTCAATGTATAAAAAAAGGGGGGGGGTGCTGAGAATGTAGCTCACTGCGAGGCCCTATGTTTGATCTCCAGTACAAAAAACAAACTCAGGGCTGGGGATTTAGCTCAGTGGCATAAGCGCCTGCCTGGGCAAGCACAAGGTCATGAGTTTAATCCCTAGTACACAAAAACAAAAAACCTCACAAAAACCAAACCAAAACCAAAACCAACAAAACCCCCAAAAGAAAGAAAACCCAATGGCCCCTCTCAAAGGAAAAAAGTTTAAATGGCTACTTTTTTTACTCTGGCTGGGAGAGAAGAGGAAAATGGCAAGTTAAAGCAGTAAAGGGCTAAGGGTTAAGCATGACACTGGAATAACTTGGACCTCTGGAACCAACATCCACAGCTACTGTCCCTGACTCCTGATCATTCTTGTGGCTTTGAAAAACTACAAATGAGGACAATCAGCTTAGCTTACTGGGCCAATTCCTTTGTAAATTATGCAAGCTGCAGGAAGAAGAGAACAATAACAGGGTGGCTTTTGTTGTAGGAAGATTTCTACATAGGAAAATGCCTTGGGCACTTAATCTCCATGATCACCTGTAAGGATGAGAGGCTAGATCATGTCACTGGACTGTTTGTGTTCCTTGGAAACTAGTGTTGGGTGAATGTGAGCTAGATGTCAGCTCAAATATCCTCAGGAACATTTTCGTACAATGTGAGGTTGGGGAAGTGATGTCTAGAATACTTCTCAGGGACAGATATGAGGCATGAGGATCTGAAGATATCAGGTCACACACCACATGCAGACAAGTCAGATAGCAATTAACACTTACTAAGCATTCTCTGGTTGCAAGCTTATGCTTGATAAAAAATCTAGTGATAACCATGTAAAACTTCCAGAAAGTGTTCTCCTTAAATGGACTCTAGCTAGTTTAAGATTTATTCATTCCTTCTCTTTGTTGCTTATAGACTGAAAGTTGTAATTACCAACACCTATCCACATCAGAGTCTCTAAGGGAGACTGCCACTCTCATAGATAATTTAAAAGGGCAGCACCAAGTATGTGTACCATGCTTGCCCTAGAAGTTAGTCAGGTTACCATACAAGACCTGGGAAAAGGAGAGACAAATACGAGAACTCCCTTGAAGGAATATAACCTAGCTCATGGGTCAGATACATGCTTATAGAAAACAGGATATGATCTGACAGTCAAGGTAAACGCAAATCAGAGCTTAGCCAGCAGATTGTTCAAATTATTTTTTGGTACTTAATCTGCAGCTTTTCTCATTTTCTTAAATAGATTCAATGGTGTCAGGAAATCTTGTCTGGTCTAGTGTCTTCACACAGACTGCTGGGGTGACTGGGTTTTCCCTCAACATGGGCACAGGACCAAAAGAATTTATGAAAGGAAAGGACAGTGTATTGCAATGGAGACACAAGGTTTAGTCAGGCTGGCTTTGCCACTTATTAGTCAGGAGAGAACTCTGAAACCAGACAGACAATAATAATCCCTATTTAACACAGCTATTATGAGGAATAAGGGAGATAACGTACAAACTACCTGCTTTCTGCTGTGAAGAACTGGGTATATATTTTTTGCTTTATCCTGTATTAGGTAACCAACTATGTACTCTCTACTTACCTGGAGGGAGTGGGACACATCAGACACCCTTTGCTCGTAAGATTAAAATGACCTGATTCATGGTCCCCCTCTCCTCTACCACTCCCACACGACTGCTCTATTAAGGAACAAGGGTAAAATGTGCCTTTTTATGACTAACCAGACAGGTCTACCAGGTGCATTCCTGGCACTCTTGAAGGTTGAGGCAAGAGGGTCAAAGGTTCGAGCCTAGCATCGGCAACTTAGTGAAACCATCTCAAAATTAAAAAATGGAAAATAGGCTGGAGATGCAGCTCAGAAGGAATTAGGTTCAATCCGCAGCTTGGGGGTTGGAGGGCACTACATAATGTTTAAGAGCAAAAACATCATTAAATAAAGATGTTTGTCAGCCTTTTAAAGCCAAAATCAACTTGAACTACCCTAAGTTCAGGTTTGCCACCACAGCTTTCCAAACAGTCCTTAATGCAAGTAGACTTAAAAGAACTACTGAATGGTTGTTAAACACTATGCATTGTGTTAGAACTTACAAATGCAGAATGTTATTTTTGAGTAATAATAATCATCACAAAGAAACACCAAAGGCCTGGAGAGAGGGCTCTCCAAATTGCTGGTGCTGCCAAAGACTTGCTTCTCTTGCATTTTTGACCCTTGATGCTGCCTGTATTGGACAACACCCAGTTTGGCTCACAGAACTTAAAGAAATTACAACCTAGGCAACTAGCTGCTGAACATAGTAATCTCCACAGACCAGAGGACACTGCTGTGGATGGCAAAGTATGACAAAACAAGAGGAAGAAAGGCCAGATGACAGCTCTGTATACACTCACGTCCTTCTCCTGGATGGTGCACTCTTTACAGTAATAGGCATCAGAGACTCCCGGGCCTCCACAGATCACACAGCGCCCCTGGTAAGAGCCGTAATTACACTCATCACATATTCGCACCAGGGTGCAGGGACGCACATAGGAATCACAGATTACACACTTGCCATCACCTGTGAGGAAAAGAGAACAGAGTCATGTTCATTAGGAAGTGCTTCCTCAAGTCCTCTGGCTTCTGTTATCCGACTTTGAGGCCCTCTTCTACTGTGGCAGCACAAAACTTGTCTTACTGTCGTTCATCTCAATCCGTTCAATACATACAAAACATGCTAATGGTGGTGCAAGCCTGTATTCCCAGCATTCTGGAAGGCTAAGGTGGAGGATCCCAAGTTCAAGCTCAGCCTGGGGAACTCAGCAAGACCCTGTCTCAAAATAAAACCACTTTTATAAAGCGCTGAGGATATGACTAAGTGTAGTGGCCCTGGGTTGAATTCCTAGTATCATAAAGAAAAAAAAAGTTAATAAATTAGTACATGAGAAAAGGATACAGAACAGCACCTGGTAAGTTACAAATCTATGTAATCGCTGGCAAAATGTGAAAGTGTGTGTGTGTGAGAGGAGGTTCATGCCCCGTCCTAAGTTAGAGAGTTTCTCAAAACCTAATGTTTCAAATGCCCAAGATGGAGTGGGAAAGGTGGAGGCACTGGTTGCAGCCTTGCATTCAGCACTCATGGGCTCTCAGGCACATCTCCGCAAAGCTTGCTTTGTAGCACCTCTGGAAATGCCTATTTACTGGCTGGATAAAAACCGTGCTGAAGAGCAGGGAGTTTGGAGAAGGCGTTCCACTCACATTTTTCACATAGTCTTCCGATGGCTGCAAAAGTCAGAGAGAAAGAGTACAATCACAATCACGTTTCTAACGAGGGGGGGACGGTGCATCTTAGTTTAGGTTGGGGACACACAATCACAGCAGTGAACACGGAGAGAAGATTTTATCCTCATACATTTCCATCTGAATCAAACCCATTGACTGGAGTGCCCTCGTGAAGCTCCTCTCAACTCCCAGGAAATCTGAATTTCTCCAGGTCGGTACTCGCCGGCCTTATATCGGAGATCACCAATGCGCACGCTCTTAAAATACTCAGCAACCGTGAGGCGGGAAACGTGGCGCCCTCAAGGCAAACCCTAAGGAGGCTATAGAAACCCCTAGTCTCCATCTCCTAACACCATCTCAACCCAGACAGCCTAAGTCAGGGGGCCGTCTCACCAACACCAGCTTGCTTGCGGCAAAAGATCAGATCCGGATGATGTTTAGCCATAACTCCTATCCAAGAGGGCTGCCGGAAGCTTCGGTGACTTCCGTCTAACCTTTAACCCCTATGGCTCCTGCCTCCAGGTCGTCGTGATTGGTTCTTAAGACTTCCATCAGCCGTCACGATTTTTTGCACCAAATCACGCGAGCTCTCGCGAGAGTTTCTATAGGCTGGAGCGCAAAACCCTCAAGTCCCGGAAGGTGCATGAAGGTTTTTAAAAGATACTTTCCCAGATTTGGAGGGTAGAGATAACCAAAACTTACTCGTAGGCAAAAAATTGTTGTGCCCTTTATTCTTCGAGTATTTTTTGTTTTGGGTGTTAAACTGAAGGCCTTGCGCCTGCTTCTGTAAGCGTTTGTATGCTGCTCTGTCACGAGTCAGCTTCTTTCTCAAGTGCTCCGCCCACTGCATTCGGGCGGGTTTGGGCGCCTCCATAGACGCACCGCCTTCCACATCCCTGGCTCTTCAAGCCACGCCCCTTCGCGGAGGCTTTAAAGGCGCACAGCACAACGTCACTTTCACGCGACCTCATCTTTGTCAGTGCACAAAATGGCGCCTTACAGCCTACTGGTGACCCGGTTGCAGGTGAGCAAACTCAGGGCCCTCTGGATTACGGGGGCGGGGTGCCTCCTCTGGTGCCTGCGGCGCTGGGCGAGGCAAAGCCAGGCTGGCCCGACGTCGGGAGGACTTTTCGTGTGCAAGTGCGGGTTGCAGTCCCAGCGCCTTTCCCCGCTCCTCGGTTGCCCTAGGTCAAGGCGTCCCTGGTACTCAGCTCCCTGGGCTCTGTCCCCGCCCCGCGGTAAACATGTGTCTGAACAGCAGCAGCCTAGAGAACAGTAGGGACACCTCTTTCTTTTTTGAGGACCACTTTCCTTTTCCCTAGGGTGTCTTTCTATTCCTCAAGGTGAGGACAAGGTGACTGGGGGTGCGGTGGTTTTTGAACCCTTTAGGCCAGTGCCTGAAGCCCTCACTTCTCGTTTCTTAGTAACAGAAACTTGCTAGCCAGTTACATCTACAATTACCTGGCCTGGAGTCTGGAGAAGCTGGTACTCTGTACTGCCTTTAAAAGACCCTGCGGAACCTAGAGCCGAGAATGGGAGTGCGGCGGACATAGTAAACCATAGTAAACAGGGATAAATAACAGTAATTTCTCACTGGCACCCGATTTCAGGACAGTTTTAATACCTTCTGATACCACCTGATTGAATAATCATCTGGTGAAACAGATGTGAGACGAATTTTCTCTCTTGATAGGGATGAAATTGCAAGAAAGTAGCAAAAAGTTCTGGCTCTCAGATTGTCACCGAAGTTTTCAGTGACCTGAGTGATCATGCTGTTAACCCCTCCTCTTATTCGTATCAGCATTTCCTCGCTGAACTTTCTGATTCAGGGTATGGTTGTTTGTATTTGTGAGAGTACAGGAGAGTATTTCGAGCTCATATAAGTTGCTTTTCAAATACTAGATGGGCAGGTCAGTAGACTCAACAGTTTGACCTTGACTCTCCTACCTATTATAAGTCATCTAGAAAGTTGACTGTCAGGCGTTATTTCACCCCTAACTTGAACGTCATACCAAGGTGTTACATTTAGAAGTTTGATGTCAAATGTGTATTTTATTAATAAAAATAAAGCAAGTATCTATAGACATTCTGTGTCAAGCTTTTACGATTACCTTTGTAAATCTTCTTTGGATCAAGTGGCATAAATTTTGATTGTAGCGTTAATAAAGAACCTGTGTGCTGTGTTCTTCAGGAAGCACTGTTACTTGGAGTTATTTTCATCACATTGCTTAAATTTAAATCGTACAACTATTTATCTGTAAATACTTTTGATGTCAATTCTGAGAAAAGACAAGGAACTTGAACATATTTATCTCTTCAGGTCTTTTCATTCTCTAGATTAATGATGTGGACATATTTGTTTCCTCTTTTCCTGCTATTTTATGTTTCCTGAAGTCAGGTGAGATTATTGGATATGATAAGTGACTTACTGAGCTTGGAAGAAAGGAATGATTTTTTTTTTTTGCTGAAAAGTGTCTTGGGAAATCTGAGTTAGAATAGTGTAAAAAGAAAACTGGCCTGTGGTTCATGCTCCACCCTAGTCCTGTGACCTTGAACATGTACTTATTGCTTTGTTATCAGTTGGGGATGGTCCTTAGTAAATATTTATTATTGAGTATTTGGATTGCTTTAATGTGTTGAGCAAGGAGAATTTGTTTACCACCATGTAGTTTTAACCTCTTTTATAGATGGAGAATCCAAGACCTTTGAGAGTCTGGGTGAAGTCTAATATAGTTAAGATTTAAATCCAGATGTACTTTTATATTCATTTAGCTAAGATGAATGAACAGTATTATGTATTTACTTGGAATTATAACACAGTGCCAGGCTGTCTCAAGTGATGATCAGCTAACCCCAGCTGAAAATGTGTGTTTACCATTTTTGTGCTTAGATACACCTGAGAAGCTGTAGTCATCATGTTGCAGAATCCTCCTGATACAGTTCTTTCTATTTCACCACGTATCTTCTGAGCAGCCACTGCCTGCTCCAGAAACATGATTAAGCAAAGAAGACAAACCTAGGTTTGTGGAATGTCCAGTGTATCTTGATGTATCTAGGGCAGAGAACCTTGGATACATTTCTTGCCAAACTAATTTCCCTTCTGTCTCTGAGTGGACCAGAAATAAAGGTAGATGACAGAATGATGACTGTTATTGCTGCCACTGAGGGTGACTGTCATTTGCCTTTTTACTACTAAGAGTACCTATCATTTACCTTACATGTACCTGTAATAACTCATGACTCTGAGATAAGGCAGACTTGTCTTTTTTAGAGACAAAGAAATGAGAATAAAGAAATACAATGATTAGTAGCAAGGACTCTGGCATCTGACTGCCTGGGTTTGGATCCTGGCTCTAATACTGAGTAGTTGTTACTTTCAACAAGTTACTCAACCTCTCTGGACTGGTTTCCTCATCTGTAAGATATAATAGAATGTCAGTTTTAATCATTACAATAGTTACAGAATATTTAGAACCCTGTCTGGCTTCTACTGAGTACTACATATTTGATAAAATAAATTTGCATGGGGGTTGACCACTAATTATTGGCAGATGGGATTCAGACCTGCATTTTTCTGATCGTGAGGCCTGAAGTCTAGCAGCTGGCACTGTGTTGCTTCTCTTTGTTTTTTTCTTTTTTTTTTTTTTTTTTGATGTTTTTCTTTTTTATCGGTACTGGGGATTGAACTCACGACCACACACTTGGAAGGCAGATGCTTATGCTGCTGAGCTAAATCCCCAGCCCCTGCTTCTCTTTGGTTTTAAGACCACAGACACCATTGAGATTCCATAGCCTGAGAACTGCTTCGAGCTGAACTCCACCACCTACTGGGTAGAAAGATTTAAAAAAATAGAGCCTGAGGTGGAAGTTCCTGCCTCTAATTCCAACACACCTGCACTGGGAGGATCCTAACAAGTTCCAGCCTTGCCTGGGCTACATAGTGACTTCAGGACCAGACTGAACCTACATAGCAAGGACTCCTATCCAAAAAAACAAAACAAAACAAAACAAAAACAACAACAAAAAAAAACCAAAACAAAAAGCAGGGCTTAGGGATAGGGCAGTGATATAAGAGCTGCCTGCCTGGCATGCTCAAGGTCCTGAGTTTGATTCCTGGTATAAAATACCCCCTAAAAACTAAAAACCCCAAGAAAATATCAGAGCAGATTTTTCAAAAGCTGTATTTACTTTGGTAAATTTGGTCTGTTTTTTAATATGCATTTTTATGCATATGGCTATGAATGATAAAGGAGAGAGGTTGGAACTTTAAATGTTTCTCAGGGGTGGGAATTTAGCTCAGTGGTGTAGCGCCTGTCTGGCAGGTCTGAGGTCCTGAGTTTGATTCCCCATACCCCTTCTACCCCCCAAAAAAAGTTTCTTAGTCTGATTTTGCCTGAAATACTTAGGTTTCAGTTCTCTGTGAACTTGGGGAAGTTAGAGTTCTTATGTAAATTTGAGAAGGTCATATGCAGCCTCAATCATGTGAATCTGGGGTGAAGTTATCTGATTGGGTGTTACCTCGATGCTTTTCTGAGGTCATCTGTTGATTTGAGTGAGTGAATGAATTAATACATAAATTTCAAAGGGAATAACATCCCATGCACAAGAAGAGCACACCGAGCCAGGCGCAGTGGCTCACAGCTGTAATCCCAGCACTCGGGTGGCTGAGGCAGGACAGTGTTGTGAGTTGGAGACCAGCCTGGGCTACAAAGTGAGCTCAAGGCCAGCCTGAACTGCATAGCAAGACCCTGTCTCAACAACAACAAAAGAAGCGCACACCATTTCTTTCTAAACTAACTGCTCCTGAAATGTGTATTTTTAATTTTTTCCCCTAAAACATTTATTGAAAGTTTAATGCCTAGCACTATTCAAGACTTTGAGAATACAATGGTGAACAGCAGTAGTGAAGATAAACTGGGTTCTGTCTGCAACACATGTGTGTAATCCCATACTCAGGAGGTTGAGGCAGGAGGATTGCTGTGTTTGAGGCCAGCCTGGGTTATGTTGTGAATTCAAGGCAACTTGAACTACATAGCAAGACCCAGTCTCAAAAAAAAAAAAAGAAAAAAAAAAATGGGGAGCTGAGACTGGCAGAGGACTCCAGAGGCTAAGGTAGGAGGAGAGATGGAAAGTAACCAAATAGGCAAATAGGAAATTGTAGCTGCTGAGTGCTCCAAGAAAGACAAAATAGGATAAGGGAAGTTGAGAGAGTAGGTGGGGTGTGGCATGCATTAACTGAGGTGGTCGGAGAAGCTCTCACACTCGTTTGAATGAAGAAGAGATTTCAGGCATAGCGGCAGCTTGTGCGGGCACCTGAGTAGCTGAGAGCTCAGGGTATAGGGGGAGCACATAGGCCCAGCGTGTTTGGGGTGTTGGTGTTGCAATGGGGTCATACAGGCCTCGGTAAGGAAATTGGGTTTTATTCTTGGTGCAGTGAACACCGGCTGGCAGGTTTTTGTTTTTTGTTTTTTTGTCTTTTTGAGACAGGGTCTCACTATGCAGTTCAGGCTGGGCTTGAGCTCACTTTGTAGCCTAGGCTGGTCTCCAGCTCACAACATCCTCCTGCCTCAGCCTCCCAAGTGCTGGGATTACAGGTGTGAGCCACCACGGCCGGCTTCGACTGGCAGGTTTGAAGCAGGGAGTCCATGATCAGATTTATGCTTGAGGAGAGTCATTCAGGCTGTTTTGTGGACACAGACCAGGGACGGTCAGAGGAGGAGGCAGAGAGGGAGGACGTGCTGTTGGAGTTGTGCGCCCCCTCCCTCCCCCCAGTGTTTGAGATCAAGGTTCTGGGGGCGGAGTCTCCTAGGCTTCTGGCTTTGGAATGGGCCTCTGGCTTGAGTCAGCACTACCTCGCACATGACCCTGGCCTAGCCTCTCCCTGGTCTCAGTGTGGCGCCTGGTGTGTCCCAGGAGCCATCTGGGAAGCATTGAGTGAATGTTGTTGCAGCTTTCTTCTACTTGCCCGGTTTTGCCAGCCTCAGATACAGAAGGCATGGGCGGGCTGTGGGTTGCCCAGCAGGA